CTTTAGGGGGGGGGGGGGATGTCTCAGTCCTTAAATCCATATTTCACATCAACGCGCTACGGAAAACGCAATCCACTGTGTAGATATATGCCCGCATCCTGTGGCTGTGGTTCCCAGAACGGCACATAAAGTGCAATAAGGCGTTATCTGTGGCTAGCTAAAAATATGTCCCGAGCATCGAGAAAGGGAGATTGCGAGACTAGGGGGAGAGGGCGACTCGGGGGGCAAAATTAGGCAGGTCTAGGAAGCACCCGTACCCACCCACCCACCCACCCAAGGGGAAGAGGTTAAATTTCCTGGGCATAAGGAATAGTTAGAGGGGAAAGGAAGGTTACTGGATGGGTTGGGGGGGGGAGGGTGCCACATACGGGCACCAGTGCCTCGGTGGCACGCCATGCGCAGGCATCTATAGATCCGTGTCACAAGCCGCAGACAGACGGGAGAGCCACATGCCGACAGACGTATCCCCCAACATGCAGGGTTAGGAAGGATTCACACGGGCGCCGTGGGGCACACGGAAACGCCGACACGTGTCTCTCTCGGCGCAGGGGTGGGACGTGTCTGTGATTTTGCAGGCAGGCAGATTTCCTATATGCAGCAGGGTAGGTACCACGGGGCAGAGAGAGAGAGAGAGAGAGAGAGAGAGAGAGAGAGATGTGCAGACACAGGAATGGCCAAAAAAAAAAAAGAGCACATACATGTGCCGACCAATGCTCTCTCCCGCACATGCGATCCCAGGCACGCATACGGGGGGGGCAGACATGGCGGCATTGCCAGACGCACATATGCGGCACAAGGACACATGGATGTCAAGGCACAATCTGGAATCGAAGGGACAGCCAAGTGGAGACGGATGTGGGGATGTCGAAAGAGCCATTTTGTACATGCATGCACAGAGACAGAGACAGAGACAGAGACAGAGACAGAGACAGAGACAGACAGAGAGAGAGAGAGAGAGAGAGAGAGAGAGAGAGAGAGAGAGAGAGATGGTGTGGTACCTACCCCCATCTTGGTGGCTTTTCCGTCTCAGCCTGGATGATCGAGGCTCTCCAGAGGACGTCTGGCTGGCAGGCAGGCAAACAGGTGGGTGGGTGGATGGACAGAAGGGGAAAGAGAGAGTGTGAGAGAGAGAAAGCGAGAGAGAGAGAGAGAGAGAGAACAAGACAGACAGAGGGGAGTGAAGGGAGCCGCCTGCGCCCCCAGCCAGGGATACTGTACCCAGGGCTGCTAGGCGCGGAAGGACGGAGCCCAGCAGACTCCCGGCTCTGCTGTCTGAGCCAGAGAGGGCGCAACAGCCAATCAGGAGCGGCTCCCCCCCCCACGCCAACCCACCAGTCAGCCTCTCCCCTTTTACTGCAGAATTCACCTTCCCCAAGGTGGGGGGGAGGGCGCAGGGGTATCCCCAAACCCATCTGCCAAAGCGCCCCCCCCCAAAAAAAATTTACACCCCCAAAGAGGCAGGGCCTCCCTTGGAGTGCACCCCAGGTTGACAAACATTGCTCTGCCAAAGAGCCCCGGGTGCCGGAGCGCCCAGAGAAAAGAGCACCCAACACTATTAGCTTAGCGCAGGCCTCAATAGGGACCCACTCCAACCCCTGGATTCAGACAGTCCCCAGGCACGAAATGCCACCCCGCTGGACACCCCACAACCATGACACATCTCCTTCCCCCTGCCGCCAGTGTTACCTCTAAGCTGAGTTAGTGTGAGCCAGCTCACAGTTTTTAGCCTCCAGCTCACAGATTTTTGTCTTTGCTCAGGAAGGATGGCTCCAGAGCAAACTAATTTCTGCAGCAGCCAAGTCGCTCACTCACAACTTTAATGCCAGTTGCTCACAGAGTAGAATTTTTGCTCACAGGACTCCACAGCTTAGAGGGAACATTGCCTGCCGCCCACATTGCGGACTCACAAACACCCACCGTCCCACCGTCTCTCTCTCTCTCCCCCAGAGACTTCACAAACTGAGAAACTATTGTTAAAAATAAATTTCTGAGACTGTCGGGGACCACAGGAGAGGGGATCGATCGGGATTTCTTCCCGAAACCTCACCAATTTTAGCCCAGGGTTCTTTTGATCGCGTTTCGGGTTGCAGAGAGAGAAAGAGGCCGCAGGGCCAGAGTTCTTGAAGAAAGCGGCAGCTTTTATTAATTACAAAAATGACATACAAACACGCGCTCAATGGCCAGTCAGGAGAGTTCTGCCCGACCCACTGAGTGGCCCTTGGATTTCAGAAAGGAGATGCCCTCACACCTAAGATGGCTGGCTACGCTTAAAGTAGTGATGCTGATCTGCCAGGAGAGGAGAGAACATCTTTGGGGCCTGTTCGCTGCCCCACCTCACCGACCTCAGGATTTTAGAATCCATTCTTCCTTCTCTCCATTTTCGCCTTCCGGTCAGGGAAGTCTTGCCACAGATCTTGGCACTCATCCTTTCTGGTTTTGAGGGTCATGTGGGGGGTGGGTCTGGATTTACAGCCTGGCCGATCAGGCAGGGCGATCTCGACTCGGAGAACTTCTGGAGCTTTTGCCGACTTGCCGCCATCCTGGGTTATTTTCTAGCCTTGGCTTTCGGCCCGCCGCTCATCCACTCCAACGTTCTGTCGTTCGCTTGGCTCTTGTCCACAGCTGGACAGGTTGTATACTTGTAGGGTTATTTACGGGCTATGGGCAAGGCTCCCTCTCAGCTGTGGAGTCTCGTGAGCAGAAATTCTACTTTGTGAGCTACTGGCATTAAAGCTGTGAGCGAGCGATTGGGCTACTGCATAAATGAGTCTGCTCTGGATCCACCCTTCCTGAGCCAAGACAAAAATGTGTGAGCCGGAGGCTAAAAAACGGTGAGCTGGCTCGTGCTAACTCAGCTTAGAGGGAACACTGGCTATGGGTGGCACTGCCCCGACGTGGAGGGCCCGATCTCATCAGATCTCGGAAGCAAAGCAGGGTCAGCCGTGGTTAGAATGCTGCGGCCAGGCTGTTGATGGGTCTTCCTAGAAGGGACCATATCCAGCCTGTGCTGAAAGCGCTGCACTGGCTGCCAATAGCGTACCGGATTCGTTTCAAAGTGCTGGTTCTTACCTTTAAAGCCCTACATGGTCTGGGTCCAGCTTACCTAAGGGACCGCCTTTCCTCATATGTTCCCCCGCGAGCACTTCGGTCCGGGACCCAACATCTCCTGGTCATCCCAGGCCCCAGAGAGGCCAGGCTGGCCGCTACCAGGGCCAGGGCTTTCTCGGTGGCGGCTCCTACCTGGTGGAACGAGCTCCCGGAGGAGATCCGGGCCCTGAGGGACCTTGTACAGTTACACAGGGCCTGTAAGACGAAGCTCTTCCACCAGGCGTATGAGTAGGAGCCGCGACTACTATCACTATTGCTCCACCTTCACCTGGCCCTGGATGAGGGAACATCAGCGCTTCCCGGAGCAGATGATGCTGAACAGTTGAAATACGCCATCTGTGAAATATCATCTTGAACATCTAGAGCACTTTAGTTAGTTAATAACTTGTTAATAATGTTTTTGTATTGTATGGATTTTAAATGGTTTTAAATATGTTTTTATATTGGCGTATGCCCCTATGTAAGCCGCCCTGAGCCCGCATTGCGGGGAGGGCGGGGTATAAATTGAACAAAATAAATAAATAAATAAATAGTTCTTGGATGGGAGACCCCCAAGGGAGTCCAGGGTTGGTACGCAGAGGCAGGCCAGGGCAAACCACCTGTGTTCTTCTCTCGGCCCTGACCCGGATGACCCGGGCTAGCTTGATCTTGTCAGTTCTCAGAAGCTAAGCAGGGTTGGTCCTGGTTCGTACTTGGATGGGAGACCACCGAGGGAGTCCAGGGTTGCTGTGAAGAGGCAGGGAAATGGCAAGCCACCTCTGAACACCTCTTGCCTTGAAAACCCAGGGGGTTGCCATAATTCAGCTGCAGCCTGATGGCATTGTTCACCACCACCACCATGGGCTGACACACACCCTCGGCTACGTTAGTTCGTTTTTAAGCCTCCAGCTTCACACTTGAATCTGCTGTGGAACTTCCTGAAATCACACAATGGGCAAAACCACCCTTCCAATTTATGCTTTGATGCGCTCCGTGGCTTTTGGCCCGTAAAAGCACTTCCAAGCTTTCGCGTTCGCTGTCTCTCGGTTTGGTGTAGTGGTTAAGATCGCGGGCTCTGATCTGGGAGAACCGGGTTTGATCCCCCACTCCTCCACATGCAGCTGCTGGTGTGACCTTGGGTCAGTCACAAGTTCTCTCGGAGCTGTTCTCTCAAGGGCAGTTCTCGAAGGAGGCTAAAAAGCTGTGAGATAGCTCACACTAACTTAGAGGGAACACTACTCTCAAGGGTAGTCCTTGAAAGAGCTCTCTCCGCCCCACCTGCCTCACAGGGTGTCTGTTGTGGGGAGGGGAAAGGAAAGGAGATTGTAAGCCACTCTGAGACTCTTTCGGGTAGTGGAGGGTGGGGTATAAATCCAATCTCTTCTTCGTCTCTTCACATTTGTTAGCTAAGAGTTATAAAACCCCATAGGCCTCAAATTTGTCTCTGACATTGTCATACATGGGTCCTCCATACTTGCTCCAGCCGCCCCCTAAATCCGGGGCTCCCTGACCCACAAATAGCATCAGCCCCACATTATGCTCCAAACCTACAATGCATAACAGGGTTGCCAGCTCTGTGTTGGGGAAATACTTGGAGATTTGAGGGGTGGGGCCTAGGGAGGGCGGGGTTCGGGGAGGGACCCCAGCCGGGTACAAGTGCCATAGAGCCCACCCTCCGAAGCAGCCATTTTGTCTCCAGGGGAACTGAACTCTGTAGTCTGAGGGCCGATGGTAATAGCAGGAGATCTCCAGGCCCCACCTGGAGACTGGCAACCCTACAGCATGCTGCTGGTTGCATGGACCATGTCCCGCTGCAACAGTTCCACATCGAGACATACCCGAGCCCTGTGTCAACACGGACTTCCCTACTCCCAAACTAATCCCAGGGCCGTTGATCGATTCTAAAGATACTTTAAGAGAAGAGACACCGAAGATGGAGGAAATCCTCACACCAACACTGCAGCTCTTGAAAAGACACAGTTCTTTATTATGCCCAACCTCACCCAGGAACTTAAGACAGGAGCTGCGGTGGCTCAAGTGGTTAAGACGCTGAACTGCAGGCGGTGGAAGGTCAGTAGTTTAGCAGTTCGAGACCCGGGGAGCCGCATGATGGAGTGAGCTCCCATCTCTAGTTCCAGCTCCTGCCAACCTAGCAGTTCGAAAGCAAGAAATTGCAAGTAGATAAATAGGTACCACTTCGGTGGGAAGGGAACAGCGTTCCGTGCGCCTTGGTGTTTAGTCATGCCAGCCACATGACCACGGAAACGTCTTCAGACAGCGCTGGCTCTTCGGCTTGGAAATGGAGATGAGCACCGCAACCCCAGAGTCGGATTCGACTGGCTTTCGAGCAAGGAAACCTTTACCTTTAAGCCAGGAATGGCGACTAGGAGGTTTGCCAGCCTCCAGGTGGTTCTAGTAACAAATAAATATACACTGCAAAAATCTTTTAACAAACTAATGTGTTCTATTTATGGTCATCATTTAGTAAAGTGCGTAGTGTATCATTATTTCATCCTAGTCAGGTTCATTACATTCAATAAGCAGTAACATTCGGTACATACAGATTGCCAACTACCAGACAATTTTGCATCGGTGTTTTAAAAGTCAAGCCCCGACAGGAGTTTCTAGGATTATAAGCCCGCTTCTCCCTGCATGAAGTCTTCCAAAAAGGGGGACGGCCTTCCTAATAGTTGTATGGATGCTTTCTGCCGGTCCTTTTGTGACTCTAATACCATCATACATTAAAGATACTGGACACTTGATATTGACCATAAATAGAACACATTAGTTTGTTAAAAGATTTTTGCAGTGTCTATTTATTTGTGACTAGACTCTCCTAACACTGCAGCTCGGGTTGCTTCAACCTCCAGGTGGTGGCCGGAGATCTCCTGGGATGACGACTGATCTCCACGCGACAAGAGATCAGTTCATCTGGAGAGAATGGCCGTTTTGGAAGCTGGTCTCTGTGGCGTTCTACCCCACTGAAGTCCCTCCTCCCCCCAAACTCTGCCCTCCTCAGTCCCCCCCCCAATCTCCA